AGTGCGCAGTCCAAGTACTCACATATTGCTGCTCTGCATTAGGCCAAGGTGAAAAAGGTTTCCTCCTCAACCTGCAGACAACCACTCAACTGCAAGCAGCAGACTTTAAATACCCCCAATAAAATAAGAAAGCCTTACAAGTGACGCTGCACAGCAACCACCTTGGAGGAAATATCACTAAAAGGGACATAAACTGGTAAAGCAAGGATGGACATCTAGCGATACCTGAGAGAATTGCAATGTTAATATTGACAAATTACTAGGTAAATAACAATGGAGCCCTAACTCCCCCACATGCTGATTATGGGCAACTATCCCACTTTTCTCTAGACTTAACATTGTACTAACCCTTCTACACCAGTCAGTGCAAGTGCAGCATATTATGTTTTTATTCAGGTAGGATCATGTGGCTATAATGTTAGTACAAAAGCAGAAGTATGACAATATTGGACATATGCATCAGGGGCCTCCATATATCTTTTCTACACTTGGAGAAGGTTGCAATGAATAAGGCAATTCTTCAACAGTTAGAAAAACAATGCCTAGAGGCCTGTAGACCTCGCTCTAGTGGAACAATGAGAGTGATTGATTAGATCTATTTATTACCAGGTGCAACTTGACCCACTGTAACCATTGCAGGTCTACCACTAGTAAACCTGGTTTTGTGAATGCCTCAATTCTGTAGAATAAATCAATAAAAAGCATACTGGAAACCTATGTTCAGCAACCATAAACAGCAGTCACTGAATTACTGAAAGAAACCTTTCACTGAATGAATAAATAAGGGTCATTAAAGGCAGATGTGAAACCTATTTGTATAATGCAACAATAACAAAAAATAATCCTACACCAGTTGCTTTGTGTATATGACGCTCTGAGGAAAAGACAATTTGCAGAAGCAGTATGTGCCCTGCTAGCATGATTTAAAATATCTGTTTTCCTATAACAACAATGATGTCTTAGACTCATATAGAAAGGATCTGACAGAGTAAAGCTGTATCTCTCTCTCTCTCTCTTAGCTGTTCTAGGTAGGAAGACAATTTATAGAAAAGCCTTGACCAAGGCTGATATGTTTCACTGGCTCTCAATGGCTAGACGGGCAGAACCAGTTGAAGAAAGACTCATACTTGCTCAGTAAAATATATCTGAGTGAAGCCTGAGACTTGGAAAACTGTTTATTTAGCTTCACTATTTATCTTCAAAACTTGTGCAAGAATAGCAGATAAATCTAACCACTCAATCATTTTAAACGTTTCTCAGATCTAATTAGATACAGTTACCTAAACAAGAAGAGTAAAATGCAGGAAAAAGACACAAAGGAGAAAGATGGGTCACAAAATAATAGAGAGAAGGTCTAAAGAAAATCAGATTAAAAAAAAAAACTATTTATGAAACTGGGGACACTCAGAGGTAATCTTTGAAAATTTGTACAAGGCTAACTGGAATCATATACCCAATCAGATGTATAGTAAATATTTATTTAACCTATATCAGGCAAAGGTTTAATGGCTGCATAGATATAGATATTTAATTGACCTATATCAGACAACGAGTTAATTACATTATAGGCCACTAACCTATTATTGCCCCCATCTAGTTTTCATTAATTAACTTCAGGATGATTAAACTACAAAAGTTGAAAAAGGAAAATTAAGGCAATAGGCGGAAAACCCAGAGTTGCCAATCAAGTCTGAGCTTTCCAATGAATCTAAGAATGTGATAGATTGCAGTGGGCAGCTACTCAATTTAAAAAAAAAAACATTTTATTGATTTTGTAATGAAAACATACAAAAGGTATAATGTTACAAAGATGCATTTGTCACAATATCAGGTATCAATTAGTATGGGCTATACATCGATTGCTTACTGGTACAGATGCATGAAACCACAATATAAAAGAGTATGGAGTGAGCCCAGGCGAGTCTAGCAGGTGAGGGTTGCCATAAGAAACCCTGAGGAGATATAGCGATATGAGCGTCAGCCCACGCAAATGCAGTAAAGCTACTCAATTTTTGCTCTTATTTTTGTAACTCAGCCCTGTAGTTCTTATCTCGCTCCTGAGTAACTGATTATAGAAAATCTGTCATTATAAAGGTCTTTGCATCTTTTGATGTATATCTTCTATAGTTTTGTATTAGTTGTCTTGCAAGTTAACTTGCACTAAATGCGTAATTATCCTTTTTATTCCCCACCATACAGCGCAGTTGTGTATTCATATTCTGAACAAGACAAAATTATTTTTATTGCCCTGAGATACAACATGTAGCTGCTGTACATTATAAATAACAAATGATATACTGTATACATAGATATATAGAAGAGATATAGAAGAGATATAAAAGTACAAAATAATTCAGTGAAGAGAACTGCCATAGCTGGTTTATAACCCGTGACAACAGAATCAACAATGCTTAAAAAAATATGTAGAAAAGCATATTATCCCATTATGTTACATTTGCATAGTGTTTGGAGGTTTTGAGGTATAATGTTTGAAGCTTTTTATGCCTTTTTTCTAGGGCTGTTACTGATTAAAAATTTCCTGTTCGATTAATTGAAATTTGTTTTAATCGATTAATTATAACGCACATACAGATCCAACTACATTGGCCTATACACATACAGCACAGCAATTAAGTAATAAAATGAACTAGGATCACACTAATCCAGCACGTTATTAATCTCACGTGCCCCACTCAATATGGCCGCCGCTTGAGTGGGGCAACTCAGAATAATAACGTGCTGGATTAGTGTGATCCTAGTTCATTTTATTACTTCATTGCTGTGCTGTATGTGTATAGGCCAATGCCAGGGATCCCAACCTGAAATAAGCAATTTCAGGGAGGTGTCCCTCTCATTTCAGGGAGGTGCCCTCTCCCCCCCATCCGCGGAGGGGGGGTTAGGGGGGGCTGGGAGAGAGCAGCCCCCTGAAATGATGGCAGATAGCACAGGAAGCTATAGCTTCTTTGCTATCTGCAGACTTCTTTTTTTTTTTTTAGTATTCTGCCAGTTGCAGTTGTCAGAATAATAAAAAAAAAGGCATAAGAATGCATAGCTAGATTCCTATTGGCTATTTCACTTTGCAATAGCCTATAGCAAACTAGCTATTGCACCCGCCCCCTGCTGCTTTCAATCACCAGAAGAGGACCTGATAGAAAAATTCAGGTCCCCCTCTGCTGATTGACAGCAGCAGTGGGCGGGTGCATTAGCTAGTTTGCTATTGGCTATTGCAAAGTGCAATAGCCAATAGGAATCTACCTATGCAATTGTATGCCTTTTTTTTCTTTTCTGACTGACGGTCAGGCCGCGGCTCCCGATGTCAGAAAAGAAAAAAACAACGATCGCAGGGAAAGGTTTAATCTGCTCGATTGAGCAGAATAAAGCTTTCCGGTAAAAAGTGTTTCTCTCCCGGCCGGGATTTGTACTCACTGGCCCAAGCAGCTTCATCGGGTAACGAAGGGAAGGGGGAGGAGTCCAGTGACGTCACCGGATCTCCGACGGAAGACCCGGAAGCCGGCAGCGAGGTGAGTACGGATCAAAAGAACTTTGATCCATCAAAATAATTTTGATCGATCAAAAAATTTTACAATTAATCGAGGGATCAATCGTTAATTTCCGCAGCCCTAGTTTTTTCTATTGGGTAGTTTAGAATAGGTTTCTGTATGATTGTAGCTGGCTTTTCTTCATGAGGGTTTTTCTTCATTCTGGTTTTGTTTTGAGCTTTCTGAGGTTACTATGCAATAATAATCTACAGGTTTATAATTGTATCTATGGTGTCTTTTTGGTTATGTGAAATAATAAGATGTCTGAAGGACTGCAATTCACCTCATTTAGTAAAATGGGCCTTTTGGGGCTCTTTAGAAGATCGTTTGCAGAGCCTGGACACAGGCTACCCTGCACTGTCTGACAGCATTTACAGAACGAAATGAGGTCCCAACACCCTCGCTCACTGACTAGATGCAATGGTACTCCTGCTAAATTTACCAACCACTGTGATTCATTATTGTAGAATCTAATAAAGGAGCATAATACTTTGATCTCACAAGTGGCAGGGGATCCCACCCTATAGTCTCCTAGTTTCCCTGTTAGTCAATAAAAGCAGGATTCCCAATAGGTCTGGTCATTGAGACTGGGCAAACAAACTTGACCATTCTTTAAATTGTTCTAGAAAACACATTAATAATGGGTCTAAAGAACCCTGTTTTCAGTTTAACAATGAACAGATCAGTTCACTCAGGCAGATTACAATGAGACTTCTGATTTGGATAAACAAATCGACTCATCACTGCATTCATTTATCTTTTATGTATATAGCTGAACTGATCTTGCCATTAAAATTACCAGCTCTGTTTTCTGTTTCCCATGCAAAAGGTATGCAGCAACAATAAATATATATTGTATATATATACCTATATACAGTATATATCAGTTGACTGTTGGGCTGCATATCTGATGTGCGGCCCAACAAGCAAATTAAAGTGCATTTTCACTTTTGCAGCTAAATTGAAATAAAGCTATAGGCATATGTGAAACCTATTACGCTGCTCAACCACCAAATGGGAGATTGTTATTTTCAGGGGCAATCCATTGGTGAGCCATTGGTGATGAGAGGTATCCACAGGGGTTCAATGCAGGGGCACTGCTAGTTTGGGCATTAGCACATGGACACTCTCAGGTACAATGTGCTGCTGACCCAAGGATAGTGATAATTTCCAGGGACGCTGTCTTGCTGAATGGGAAAATGTAGAAGAGAAAAAAGTTGTAGAAAAAAGTTGTAGAAAAAATATTGTTTAAGTGCTTTTACCATTCCATAATGGGCACACTTTCACTATTGTCATAACTGATTTCCGTTTGTACAAAAATCTCATAACACATAAAGCTACAAATATATGTAACATGTTACAGAAACCTATGCAATACTTCATATATTGTGCCCTGCAAGGAATGGGTGCATATTCCCAAAATCTGAAGATACTATATTACAAAAGTGTCATGTACTTTACCTGTTGTATAACAGTATGTCAGGAACCCATATCTGATCAGATGGAAAACGAAGGGTTTGGACTCCAGGGTATTCAGATTGGTCCCACGTCAAGTAGACGTCATTCCAGTACTGGTAACAAAAAAAGTGTTTTAAGCATAAAAAAACCCATCACATTTGCTGTGTTCTAATAATTATTGTTATAATGAAATATGGCAGTGCAATCATTACCATCAATTACTCTATATTATTTTTGTGGCTAAAATCTATCAAATTGATTTTAAAAAGAGAAGACTTTCTTTATAATCATACTGGGAGGTCTCAAAAAAGGCAAAAAATTAGTTGAGCCTTTACCTATAAACTCCAGATGAATCAAAGTGCCTGAAAGAAGAATAGTCTGTGTTGCCTCTAGCAGTGAATCATACTCATGTTTCCAGGACAGGTTAGAAAATGAAAACAAGAAACTGATTTATTACTTTGGGCAACATGAACAGTTTTTTCTTCAAACGTTGTATTTATAAAGCAGTATAAGATTTATTCACAGAACATTGGTCACTTTTTCACTTACTACCAGTCTGGTTTTCCTTTCATTTTATGAAACAGTTACACAAGAATTTTGATTGGTTGCGACAGTCAAGAACTCTTTTCTTCTCCTTTTCTGTTCTTTTATGATTCAGCCTTTTAACAATGGAATAAGCAATGTCATGCGCACATTGACCTATAAATTGTGTAATTATTCAATAATAAACATCTTCCCCCATTTGCACTTTGTCGTTCTTGTGTGTTAGGTTAAGACAGCCTATTTATTTGGAATGGACTGCCAATAAACAAGAACGGGCAAAAAATGGACAGAATTTTTTTCCAACACAGTGCACTACAATGCTCAGTATTGTGTTACCGTGCATTGTGGTCCGCTGCAAAGCCTATGGAAAAGTATGAATTGTCCCTTAAACAATAAACTGCTATTTTAAGAAGCTGCTAGTAACAGTTGCTAGTAATACCATTAATAGTGGGAGGAGGGCTGTTGGGGAGCAGTGGCAGGGGGAAAGGAGTTGGACAAAAGAGATGCAACTAAAGATTTACCACAATACACTTTATTTGAAAGTCACATCCATTAGCACTTTGCAGTGCCATTCATTGTAAATGGCACCCCAATAAATCAACTGAAAGCACCTCTGGTGCATTTGAATGAGGTGCCTAATGCAGCGGGCATTAATGCATTACATAACATGCCTTAATGCACATGTATTTCTGCAACATCTGAGTTCAGGATCACCCTGAATCATCATTTGTGTCCCTCCTCCAAGCAACCCCAAACCCTATAAAAAAATTAATATTATATATATATTATATATATATATATATTTCCAGCTGTGGTGGTGACATCACAGGTCTTCTTCACCCTCTTCTTCCTCCACAGGCATGCAGATCCTGAATTCTGCAGGTGCCATTGATCCCTGCAGCATTTAGCATTTTCTTGTGAGTTCAGTGTGGGGGGCAGGCCCATAACAAACCAGTTTTCCAGAACGTGGGGTTAAATGCTGCTGCGCTTCATTCAACCCTGAAGAGGAGTGATGCTGGATGATTGATCTGGTTAGTCTGTGGGGTACAATGCTGGAGATGAGGTGGGTATAGCAGCAATAAACTACTACTACCCAATATCATTTTTTATTCTTGGCCCAAGCTGGATTTTGCCTCTAAGAGTCCACTAACTAAGCTAAGGTGAGTGTGAATAAGAAGGCAGAGGTATGATCAAGGGCAGAGTGTTTTGTACCTGGTGCAGTGGCAATGTTGGAGAGTCCAACAGTACAAATACCTAACAGTTCACAACTTCTTTCTTATAAGCATACTTATAACAACAACAAAGCTGTAAACCCTAAATGTGAGTATCAAATATAGAAACTTTTTTTCTGTCATTTAACAATTAAAAAGAGCCCCAAACTACGAGACTGCATGAGTTCCATCTCACGTGTTTGGCTACGATTAGAGTATGCAGGTACTGAAGAACAAGTGCTCAGAATTCCTGAGCGGTGCAGCCTAATTCTTCCTCACAGAAGCAACTCAGTTTGGTAATAAAATGAATAGCATCATTTTAATTATTTTATGCAAAGTACTTTAATGGAATCAACTTTATTGAGATTTGTGCTGCAATTTCATCATTCATTAGTGTAATAAAACTCTGCTCTGATGACATAAATTACAGTAAATATCTGTACTTACTATCTGAAGCCAGGCATTTGTAACCAAGACTTGATTCTTTTCATCCTAGGAGAATAAAATACATTCAGAAGATTAGTCAATGTTTATAACTGGTATTTATAGCCATCTTTGGTATTTTTGTTTTTAAGCACCAGTGTGTTGGGGTGTTAGCAGCATACTCTAAAACAGGGGTTCTTAAAGGAAACCAGTCATGAAAGAAATATAAGGGCTGTCATAGTGACCTGCAAGGAAACCAGTCATGAAAGAAACATGAGACTTTTTCCCAGCTACGTGATCTTTAGGTGTATTCCAGGTAAGTGACTTGCATAGCACTGAATACAGTGGTGAAGGATAACAGACAGGCAACTTCCCAGAAGAATGTAAACAATAGCAGTCCACATGTGTTTTTCCCTAAAAAGGTGTTCTTAACCTTTCAAAAACTCTATGTTCTAGAAAAAAAATTACTAAAAAGAAAATGATCCTTTAAAGACCAATTACACAAGTAAAACATAAGAATGTTGCCCTAGAACTATATTTAGGTAAGCAAAACCAAAGTAGTCTTTGAGAAGTTTGAGAAGTGGAACAGTCTAACCGTTTATTGGGTGTAGGAAAGGGTTAGGTACATTGCAGTTGTTTTTGGTTGTCTCTGTCCTCATTAGATAGATTTATTCACACTTACTGGCACCCTGACAGTAAAACAAGAAATCTATTCAAAGGAGAAGCATTAGTTTCTATCCACTGGAGAGGCCCAGACTGGGAGACCACCCAGGCAGGGATACACAGAGCAAGAACCCTGAATGAGGTTCCAACCTTAGCCCAATTCATTTAAAAAAAAGTTTTTGGTGCAGTTCCATTTAAAAGTACAGTACATCTGTTGCGTAACTGTCATGCTGATCCTCTTGCTTTAATACAAAACAAGAACAAGTATGCAAATATAAATTTATAACTTTACCCTGACTCTTCTAATCTTCTTACTTGCTCCATGTCAGGGGCTCAGAAATTGATCAAGCCAGTTGGCCAGCATAAAAGCCAGGCAAGAAGCATTTCTAAGAGGTCAGCACTGGCAGTCACTATATTTCCCGAACCTCAGGTTTTTCTTATATACATTATATAGGATAATCTATTAGAAAACACTATTTTAGAATATGTTAATTAAAATATATTAAAGGTTATGCAAAGGCAAATCTTTATTTGATAGTGTAGGAAATGTTTTTAATTATGGTTTGTATCCACATTGGGAAGATTCATCCCTCTATTTGTCCTAGTAGTCATGGTCCACAATACAGAAAGAATGGGGAAATCCTAAATGTTATCCTAAGTGTTATCATGAAAGCTAAACGGTGATGGGAAATCTTCTACTGGACAAATGTTCTGTGAAAACTGTCTAAAATGGAAATTCATCTCACTTCCTGTTGCATCTCCAGGACAGAAAATGAAGGGAGAAACTCTCCAGCAGGACACAGATAGGGATTTTTACCTTTCCTTACGCTATCCAAAACAAAAAAAGTTTTGCTTTACCTTTATATCTTCTGATTAAGATATTGTAGAATAGTGTTTTCTAGCTTTGGATGTACATACTCTTTAAGTAAAACAATATGAGTTTATAGTAAACCTGGCTATGTACATTGAAGCATTTACTGTATATATTACGAACAAACATTAAAACATTTTCACTGAACACAATCTCACCTCTCTAGCTATAGGCATTGTGGAGACATTCATCTTTACAATTCACAACAGAGGCAAAGAAATCTCAATTATTTTCCACAAAGAGCAGCATGTTTGTAGCCTGCCAGATCCCCTGCCAGATGTAGAACATGGAGCAGATGCTTGTAAGTTGTTAGGAACTGACTTAAACCTCACTTCAGAGTCTTCATAGTTACATAGTATTTGAGGTTGAATAAAGACATTAGTCCATCAAGTCCAACCTATTAGGATCTCATTCTAGGAGTACCTGTTCCCCTGTATATTACGGTCCCTTAAGAAATCGTCCAAAAGTTTCTTGAACAATTCCACATTATTTGCTGAAATCACCGCCTGTGGCAGTGAGTTCCAGACCCTAACTGATCTTACTGTGAAGAACCCCCTTTGCCCCTTGTGCTGGAATTTTATTTTCACCAATTTTACTTCATTGTGGTCTTTAAGTATCTTTGAAAATGAATTACTTGACAGTGCATGCAGCTAGAGAAGTCAGTAATACGTTGTTCTATGGTTCTTTAACTGCTTGTAGAATATGTTAAAATATAGATGGCAAAAGTCTGGGAACAAGTGCACTTAAAACACTGGTGTACTTGACCTAGTAAAAAGTAGCAAGTCTATAGCATATACAATCTAGTAGATATAATACTGTAGATGACTGCAGATTCCATCCATATCCCATGCAAATAATTATATTATTGGGTTTTAACTGCGAAAATTTGTTGGACTGCTGTGAATGAGAAAATGTATTTTGCAGAAATGTGGCAAACAATAAGGATGGCCAAAGAAAGGCAGATGTCTATCAAGTCTATTCAAGTCTATCCACCAGCCCATACTTGAACCAGTCATCTTGATGTTGGGGCCTGTGGTTTTCTTCTCTGTGACTCAACTGATATGTGATAGCTAAAGATGAGCGAATGTGCTTTGGTTCTTTCATTAGGGAATCAGGGTGACACCATTGGAGGGGTGACACCAAAATGACTAACAGTCACCCCCCTCTGAAAAGTCGGACACATACCTTATCCCGCCGGGTGACTGTCCCCTACTCTCTCTGCCGGCGTCCATCACCAAGATGGCCGCCGGCAGGTATCAGAATACTGCCGCGCGTGCGCGATGATTATGGCAGGGATTATGAGTTCTGGAAGTCCTGACAGGGATTCTCTGAGTACCATTTGAAATCCTAGCATACATTCTGGAATCCTGCCATAGATTCTGGAAGTCCTGGCAGAAATTCTGAGAGCAGGAGCTCTACAAATCTCATTAAGGATTCTGCAAGTACAGTAACACTGCCTCATCTCTCCCTATTGTTGGCTAACCAATCTGCATACATTCTGTCCAACCACCAAAAAATATTTGTGACTATTGTCTCAGATAATAAACTTTAATTTGATTGAAATATAAAATATACCTTGTCTATTTCTATTTGCTATTCAAGTGCTTACAAACTGACCTGACACTAGCCAATTTCTACCAAACACAAACCCGTGGTCTATATTTTAAATACATTTAAAATAATTGAATATACCGTGATGGGAAGGCGTTCAGGGAATGTGTGATTGTGGTTTTGAAGTATTTATGTGCACTCTGTTTTTTTATTAAACTTTTAGGACAAAGATGAACTATACTATTAAATTGTTTTGTCACTGGTCAATTTGTATCAAGCTGAGGGCCTTAACTATATTTTTAAAAAAAAACATTTTCCTATAGCTTTTAGATATGTCATGCCTGTTATTTCCACTGGCCAATATAGGGCTAGTACCACTTGTTATAAAAACCAGGTGTCACAGCAAAAAATCTAAAAAATGCTTTTTTGTTGTTGAAATTAATGAGATTGGTTTTAGGGTGCTGCTGCTCTATAATATTAATGACACATTTAAATATGTGATGTCAGAATACAGTGTTGCTGTCACTGTTCTCAAAAACTGTACATTTCTGTAACACCACATACACCTTTAAGGCATGTCACAAACATGTAATTCAAAGGACTGCTGTTTTTTTCATGTCGCCCTCGAAGTTGAATTAAAAGTACCCTCTCCCACTTTACAGTATTTAAAAACTTTTTGGCTTTTTATTTAAATGGCCTCCAATGGCAGTGCTCAACTGCCCATGTACTTCCCCATGTGAAAAAAAATTAAACTGAAAACACAGTGGAAGTGTTATAATTTGTCCCAACCCCTGTCACTTATTCTGGCCAGCTTAGCCTGTATGTGCAGAAAAAAATGCACAATAATAAAATTATATACTGAATATTGTTTTTACATTTATCAACAGCGCGCAGAAAGAATACCTTATATTTTGCAATAGTGGTCCTTCAAAGCATTGAATTATGTAGCAAATACATTCCTGTTCCATATTCACTTCAAGAACAGTGAAACACTTATAATTGCCAATTTAAAAAATCATTGCCATTGTGATCCTGGAACAAATGAACAAATGAAGACTCATTTGTAGATTTAAAAAAAGCACATAACACACTTACACTATTAAGCACATAATTATAATACCCTCTAATTTTACTGATATGCTTGAATGATTAGTTATAAATTATATATTTGTTAATATTCTTGTCAAAATTGTCAAAAATATTCTTGTGTTAATATTTTTGACACATAGGGGTCTATTCACAAAGCTGCCGAAGGATCTGGCCGTAGCTTCGGCCGATCCTTCAGCTAGCTTCGGCCCCAGGACCCCTTCGGTTCTA